CTTCATAAACAGCCGTCCACATTACCGCCGTTGCAAACATAAACTCTAAAATCAGTTTACAGGTCTACGTTTCAAAACGGAAAACTAGGAATCAAACGTGTCTGATATATTTTTAAAAGCATCTTAATTTGCACTGACAAAACCTTAACATCGCGCGAGTTAAAGGGGAACGTTGATCGAGGTAGGCCTAAAAAGATTACTATTAATAACAACAGAATAAAAATATCGAACTAAGTGAATCACCTTGATCAGCTACTGAAACGCAGTTCAGCCAAATGCCCCAATAGGAACAAATCAACAATAAATCCAGAACTGATACATAAGGAACCTTCATGGTATCTTACTTAACTGAGAGACCCACTTTACTGCAGTTTACTGGCACGGAGAATGGACTATTCAAACCGGGCTTTGTTGTTAAATAATGTGAATTTGATTATGACGAACATTGAATACATGAGTGCTTACACACACGTAGTCTGAGGTGGTGGGGGGCCATTTTGTACAAACGCCCTGCCCAGGAATCTATAGAGGGAGGTTTTTAACCCAGAACATTACGTGGAGAATGTTCCTGGAGTTTTCTTTTTCTTTTATCTTCTTTGTAATCAAGTGAATAGATGATTTTTCGAGCAATTTTCGCGACAAAGATGCATGGATATAACTTTTAATTACTCGCACAAACTGAATGTCAAAAATAAAAAGTTCAACAAGTGAAAGGCCGCATTTTATTAAGTTTCCGTTTACAGATATACTAGATGACGTAGACCTATTCTCTGGTTTAAAAAAAATTGAATAGGTCTTTTTTTGCTTTTACCGATTATTGCTTTTCTCTCTGGTCTATAAAGCCTTTGTCCTTTAATTTCCACTCATATATATATAATAAAGACACGATACGCACCTGTGGACGGTCCAATTACCGCAGGCATTGTCACATTGGTACTTATTAGTCAAAAAGGTATAATTCGGGATGTAACAATGAGGCAATAATAAAGAGTATTTCTTGTGTGAACCAGGGTGGATAAAGGTTAGAATCCCGCTTTGGTTTTCGCCACGGCCCAAAAGTTATCCGCTGCTAAATGCTGGTATACGCGTACGGTGCCAATAATAGGGAACAAAATCTTTTTAAACATAAACCTTAACATGACACTTTTTGTATTTAATACCCGCCGATTCACTTCTTTGAAAGTTTAGTTTAACCCGGGTTATTAATTTTTTATAACGTTTTAACAAACTTTTATTGTTTCATTGGCTTCTGAGCCATTGCATATGTATTTGCCTTGATGAGGGGAACTAGACCATTTCTTCATATGCGCTGTTTGACCTCTACCTTTTGTACTGAAGGATACTGACCCTATTTCAGAGTGCAAAAAAAAAAAACATTTAAAACATCTGAAAAGATTTTATGCACCTTTCACGTATACAGAAGGTTTAAGTTTAATCACACTACATCAACACAATCCACTTCTAGAAGGCGATCATTACCTCACATGTTTATAGTTACCCTGTCTGCTCGATCTGCTTTTCCTAGAACCGGCGATACTTCGTCGCTTTCAAAGAAAGAAGTTCTTTTAGTCAATGCTTGATAAAATGATTTCAGAAAGCGCTTTTCGATTAAAATTGAAAGGAAAAAAAATATATATTTAAAACACTACCTTTCAAGTTTATAGTTTAATTACAATGCAACTATGAAAGCTACTTCTAAAAGTACAAGCCTAACATCATAGCTGAGGAAGCGTTTATATATTTGTGAGTGGGCGTCTTAATTACAGGGTGTCCCAAACGTTCGTTCCTCTACTTTATAAGTCTGTAATGCAGTACGAGTAGACTGCTTGATAGGCATATAATTTAACCAAAAGTTGCATCTTTCAGTGTTTTTTTAATATTTCATACTTGCTGTGCCATCTTTTGGTTTGAATATTCGATTTGTATACTTTCGCACGAAAGATGTGCCTGCGGGAGTAATTTTTCCCGCCACATGTTTTTGTATTTTGTAGACCGAATTGCTCGACTTCCTACCTTGTTTTTGTGAATATCACGAAAACAAACCCTCTCAACGAAAAACACTCAGCTACATGAGAGCATAAGCATGGATACTTCGATCTACTGGCTTATCAGTTAAATAAATTAATAATAATAATAATAATAATAATAATAATAATAATAATAATAATGGAATTTATATAGCGCTTATACATCGTTGTTCTAAGCGCTTTACAATATAATGTAAAAAATTAAAAAAGGACATGACAATATCATTAATCACAAGCTTACATATAACCCTACTCTACATATTAGGAAATTTATAGCATACACATCTTAAAAAGGAAAGAAAACAAAAACAAATATGATGAAATTAAATGTCATATACCTTTTTAAAAAGAAACGTTTTCAACTTAGATTAAAAAAGATTAATATTAAAACAAGCTCGAATTTCAAAGGGGAGCTAGTTCCATAGTCGGGGGGCAGCAACGGAAAACGTTCGCTGGCCATAAGTTTTCATGTTAAAATTTGGTTCTTCAAGGCGTAAATGATCCTTTGATGACTGTAATGTCCTTGATTGATTGTAAAATTACTAAAAAATGGAAAAATCTGAATGTTGGGTGGTAAGATAGTCATCGAGAAATGAGTTTTAAAGACAAGAAACAAGAGGAAGGTCCGAAAGTCAGGAATAAAACAGCTCAAATACTTTTATTTTTGACAAAAGGTTAGGTACAACAGAGGAAACCCGACGAGGTAGCTGTCACAAGAGATAGCAAGTTAATTATAAGTTTGGAGCAGGTTCATGAAAAGCAACGTTTGGAGACCCCTGAGAGGGCAATAAAATACCTCTACTCAGTCCGCCAAGCAGCGTTCAGCTTGTCTCAAATTTGTAAGGAAGTACAAGCCTTACTGGAAAGGGGCCGGGATGATTATCTTTTCTTGGATCAATTCCCAAAATATTTTTTTAGCTGCCTAATCTGAAAAATTATATTGTGTGGGGGTCGAAGTGGCTCCTGCTTACCAGGTGATAAAAAAGAAATTAAAATGAATCATCTGAGGCTTCACACGCTACATGACTTACTCCAGTCAATGCCACAACTGCTAAACTAAAAGGATATAGAGTGTTCGACTGATTTAAAGACAAAGGGGCCATGCTAGTTACTGAACTTCTGAATACATGTGCTCGATAGAGCAAGAAACATCTTTTAGAAATTTCATGTCAAAATAAAGTTTTGATCAAAAGTTTTAGCTGATGAAATTAGAGGAGCGAACTGTAGTATAGATCATTCAACGTACAAATGGCGAATGCCGAGACACATTTTGTTAGCCGCCATTATTGAACAGTCATGTTTCATGCTTTTAGTATAAATAATAATAATAATAATAATAATAATAATAATAATAATAATAATATTTTTTAGCTAGAATACGTTTACCCTAGAAAATAGTTTTTAAAATCGGAATGAATTGTTCCTTTTTTTTTCGTTGAAATGAAATGTTTTTAACTCGAATATTTTTTTAAAATTGAAATGATTTTTTTTTTTACTCAAAACTAAGTGCGTTTTTTTAATCGAAAGGAAATGTAAATAGTGCTTTGACTAAATAGATCTTTTCTCAACGCGAGTTTAATTTTATATAGGATTTTACCAGCTTTGTTATCAATAAAAGAATTAATAATAATAACAATGATAATAATAATAACCATAATTAACAGTAAACAGACAAATTCTAGTTATTATTTCTAATAATACAGCTACTAAAAGCTAAACAGTCTAATGAGTGGATACATTTTCTTTCCATGAAGCCGTGAAATGATTTCGGCTCTTTGTTTCAGGGACCATTGCTTTTTAGCAAATGACTTAAGTCTAGAAATGAAGGAATCGCGTAACGGTGAACAGAATCTAGTATTGTTTGGTTAAAAATTCTGGCTTAATGGTTTGGTGCAATCAAAATCAGCCCAAATCAGTTGCTTTTCGCTGCACCAAAATATAACCCATTGCCTTAATATGTTTATGACCATTATCGAGTGGGTAAATGTTAGCCTCGTTTCCACATGTGTTGGAGTCGTCGTGAACTCCTCCAGTGCCAAACCCGATTCTGGAGTCACACTGACCGCAATCGTTTTCATTGTTGCCGAGGATTCCAATTCTTGCTTTCGACTGGTCTCTTCCCGGATAATACTGCTTGTCACTCCTTGCATTAAATCCTTCCCTGTTACAGTTGAACTGCATGGAGGCCTCAGAACCAATCAGCGACTTCCAGGTGTCACGACCCAGTGAGGTGTTGCGGTATTTCCCATCAGCGATCAATGAATGCAGAGAACTCGCGGTCCTTTTGATTACAATAAACCTGGACTGTTTTTTAATCCTCATACCGAGGCAGATCTTGGAGAAGGATGTGTTCCAGTAGGAGGGAAGCTTGGTCTCCTGTAAATCGAAACCAGTCTTCCCTCCGTCAGGGGTAACGGTTTCTTTGTTTGTCCAGTAACGTGAGTCGAAGTGAAAAGTTCGCTGTAAGGGAATTGATAATATAAAACAGAATTTCTCATTGACAGAGAATAGTATGAGTCAAAGAAAGCATAGTCTATTATTATTTCGTCTGCACATTTTAAAAAAGGACATTTCTTCAGAATAGTACTAAAATAGTGTGAAAATGTTAATGCAGTAGTGTAGTTTATTTGTCTTTCCCATGATCAGTTAGCCCTTCCTCAGGTCAAACGTTTAGTAAGCTAGCATCATAAAACTCTTTTGGTTCTAAATGTGTCCCACGTTGTGTTACTTTATTTACAAGAATGGGGAAAGGAATATTCACTTGGATTTGAATCAGCACACCGTTCCAACCTCCTCCAAGTGAAGTTAGATCCTAGACCACTGCGCTACGCTGCCACAGTGTTTTTCTCTGCCATAAAAGCTGTTTGAAGTGGATGGAACTGTATTTATCATTCTTTCATAGATTCATTTGAGGAAAAATAGGTTAAAGGCATATTTTAAAGCCATTTTGCATTATTTCGGTCTTAATTCTCTCCGCTCGAGTTCAACGGAGTTGAAACCAGTCTTTGACTGATCAACCGGCCAACCAATTCATTGTTGGTTTGCCTCTGTGTCTGACTTCAATTCAAAAGTACAGATTTAAGGGAAAAGCAAGGTTTTATATATGACGGTAAAAAGCCGAACTGCAACACACTTCCGACAAATCAACAAACTGTATCCTGCAACCTACTAAGCCAAAGTGCCAAATGAGACGCACTGGCAAATGTTCTTTTATCCAGTTATTTGAAGGTACTGATCCAAATTGCTTCATTTTTCTCTGTAAAATACTCTAGCTCGAAAGTAATTGCCAAAAGCATTTCTCGAAATCCAAAACGGCCGCAAAAACAGTCAAAACAACACCGATCAAGCCTCTTGCTTGATGATGTCATTACATTGCGGGCACCAAAGAGAAATGGTTACATAGAAATATGGGCCACTGTTGAGATTGCAGCACGCTATGATCTACGCACGATCCGCGCGCTGCGCGCCGAGCGAAAAAAAAAATTTAAACTCGCTAGGCGGGCATTACGGCCTTCGCTTCGCGAAAATAAACGAAACGATTTTAATTTGCTTAACATTTTGAAAGTATACCGAAAATTTTATAATTGCCTCATAAATGGGAAACTGGTGTTGAATGTGCCAATTTTACCAACATTGCATTGGTGCGAAGAGTTCCTTCTGCAACTGTCTCGCAAGCTGTAACGCGCCAAAACTTTCATCTTAAAGATGAAATGTTCAGCTTTTATTCGAAATACTTCGTTTACTGAGAACTGAAATGGGCGCCCCATTATTATTATTATTATTATTATTATTTTATTATTTTTATTTTTTTTTTGATACTGGTACCGGCCGGACACTGGACAACATACTGTACTGTTTTTTTTTTTCCCGAGCAGTTAATCTCTCCTTAAAATATCTGCGCCGAGAATTAAAAAAGAGACAAACTTCCAGTTAATTGTAGATTATTTTATTTTTCGTATTTTTTCGCTCTGTAAAATTAGAGGTAAATCACCCTCAAATGTTTACCTTGTTGCCGTCCATCTTCATGACTGGTGTCCATCCTCCATCTCCACATCCAAAATCTCCCATGTGGCAGAGAACGGTAGTTAGATTTGAGTCAAGGAGAAGAGTGACCAGCCGAGTCTCTTTTAACCTGTTCACAAGAGAATCACATTTTAAATTTTCCAAGCTCCCTTCGGGTAGAATTCTCTGTAGCGTAAATGAAAATGATTGAGCTTCAACGTACGCAGTCTTAGAGAACTTTCAAAAAATCAGAACTCGCCGGCGGACAGACCAAGGAGGTAATTTTAAAATGAAATTTTAGTATTTTCTCGAAGCCTGCCACTTCCGTGTATCATTAAGGAATTAACTGATCTGGCTGGATAGTCTTGATTAATGGTGGAATTCTCCTTATGATTGGGCCGGTCCGGGCTGGCCAGTTCTGACAAATGGAAAGTGTCCTTTGTCTTAAGACCAGACTTCTCCTAATCACGTTATTACAACTATTGCATTTTATGCTGACAAATCTGTAGCTCATAATGTTGATACTAAAATATTATTTTTTGGTCAACAAAACAAATTACTCTCCTCTCCTTCCTAACAGGGGCTTTAATCATAAAATAAAGAACTCAACGATCTGTTATCCCATGAGACTTCAGTGCAGAAATTGTTTGCATGAAATGTGGGAAGATGTAAATCCGAAGCGCGAGGACGAGAAAGAGTGCGCGAGGGAGACCGAGTAAGAATGGAAGGGTTCCCAGTTCCCTCCTCCCTCACGCCTTCCTATTTCAGCCTTTACCCTCCTTTTTCAATGGCCACCCCGGAAGCTACAGACGACAGGCTTCAGCCTAGATACGAAGTAATACAAATTTTAAATATCTATTTTCTTTTATCTTGTCAAGGGAGAAGAGAGTGGCAGCCGGGCCCCGCTTACGTGAAAATAAGGAGGATCACTTACGTCCAGATATGTAAGCAATGGCGAAAATAGTGAATCTGGCAACAGATCGCTAGAGGGTTGGCGAGAATGGAAGCGGGTAACCCTCCCTGCTCCCAGCGACCGTTTATTTCAGAAAAAAATTTACTTCTTTGCCCGTGCCAGCAATGCTTGCGCATGCTCTGATTGTCTCTCCCTGACCGATTTGAACCGCTGGGCGAGAAAAAGGGTTTATTTGCAAAAAAACTGGTCCGGCTAAGAGGTTGACCTCACAATAGAAAAAGGGTGACCCGGCTAGGCGGCCTATTAGCCGAACTAACTTTTTGTTTGTCATGTAAACTGTTCGCTAGCTTTTGTACGATAGGTGAGTCACCCTTAATTCTACCCGGGAGGATTTTACTCCATATAAACGAGGCTTTACTGTGAGGACGCACTTAACAGCCACTTTAGGGAAAACAACAAAAAAAATTGCGCGTACGATGAGCCCGAAAACCACACTAGCGATCTTAAAGAAAAAAGGAAAGGAAAAATTGAAAGAGAGAGGAGAAAGGAAGGAGAAAAAGTCAAAAAGAGAAAACTAGCAATGGTTGCACTCTTAGTTTTTATATTCGTGTGACTTTGGTCCATAGAAGACGTCGCGCGTCTGTTTTGGTGGTTAATTATTATAAGTTTTCAAAAATAATTTAGCTAGATATACATTCAGTTGTAATTGTGTCACTTACTTCTGTGGCAGTCGATCATACTCGTCTTGGCACGACTTTGCAGCGGCTGAAAAAAAAAGGAAAATGATCTATTAAAAAAGGGGAAACGAAAACTAAAATTTGAGGTCCAAAGGTAACCCAAAAGGCTTTCCCGACTCTTCGCCTTTTTAAGCACACCTGCCAGGTAACTGAGACTCGGATAAATTTTTACACTGTTAGCGCTTTCGGGTGAATAAGCCAACCTGCTCTGAGAAATGAATGAAAATAATCGGGGGTATAAAAGAACATTAGAGAGTTTAAGCATCATGTGTACGGCAAACGACAAACGCCAGATTCCGTATTAAGAATTTCTCAACATGAGCAGATTAAAAAGCTCAAAACAATTCTTATGGATAAAAAATTGCGTGAAACTACTAATTTATGTGTTGAAATAATGAACAATAATTGACAAGTAAAGGTGAAACTCGGTCACTTGGTAAAAATTCGCGTTTGCCGCTAGAGGTGAACGTGAGATGCTTAACCTCTCTATTATAGGGGATCAATGTACAGGGAAAATCCTTCCCTTGCGGTACGTCAAGTCAGAAAAAAACATGTACAATGGATCCTCTATATAACGAAGGGCCAGGAGACAGGCAAAATCTATTCGCTATAACGAGGTTTCGCTATATACAGGATCTTTTCGAATCCATATATTTTACTATTATACTGCAGGGGCAAGATGATATCGTTCGATGTAAAAAGAACTTCGTTGCATAAAATAGTTCGTTATAATGATCGAGGTTCCACTGCATTATTTTCAGCTTGAAATATTCACTACTTCACTCCCTTTAACGACTTTTTTGAGTGATCAAGAAATATGTATTGATGCTTTATGATTAAACCAACTCACGCGCTATTAAAGTTCTCAGAGTGTCACGACCAATTCGATAAGTAGCATTACTAGTAGAAAAAGTGAAGTGTCAGTAATTAACTGATTCAAAAGGTCTTCACACCTCTTCTGGATATTTATTAGTAAATGGTAAGTTTCTCAAACGGATTGACCATTTCCACATATAATTTTCAGAGCACAGTTATTACCTCTTTCGCAAAATTTTCCGCTAAAACCTCCTTTGCAACGACATTCAATCATGGTACTCTTGGCGTGATTTTTGAAATCTGCTGTACAAATACCTCCGTTTTGACACGGTGAAGACAAACATGGACTCTGAAATGGAAAAAAGAGCGTTATGTTAGTAGTGCTATCTATTATTCTTCAAAAGTATCATTTCTTCTTTTATTTTTCTTGTTTATTTTTCTTTTTCAGTTAAAACCGTTTGCAAATCAGATATCATCATCATATTCATTCTCAGATTTCAGCGTTCTTATTATAATTCTTTTTGTTTCTTCATTTCTTTATTTCTTTCGTTGTTTATTTCTTTCCCTTCTTTCGTAAATCTCTTCATTTAAAGTGATGGATAGATAGCATGAATCTCCGACGAAAATAACTATAATGTAACCACCATTACGGTGAACTGAAACCCAATTTTCCCTGATAAAAAAAATTTTTAATAAATAATGTTGAATTCAACCCATATTTTTCCTAGTCCTCCTTGGTTTTTTCAATTTCAAAACACTCTAACCGGAAGTACTCTTTCAAAATGTTTGAACAGAAGTTACGTTTTTATTATCACTGTTTTCTAATTTGTCACCTGTACCCTAAATGAATGTTTTGGCTCATTGGAAATAGAAAATAAGTCTCACCATAATGGTTAAGTGATGCGAGCTCTTATTCCCTTTATACATCTTGGGATTGCTGTATTTTTCAGACGATAACAACTCACACCAAAACTTTCCATCTGCTCCTTTGGAAGCAGCCAAGTTGACTGACAAACAGAAAGGATTGCCGAGGCATTTTAAGGCGCAGCTAAGGCTGTTGTGTACTGTGAATGTTCCAACTTTAGTCACGTTTAAATAATGGTATTCGTATTTTATGAAGATATCCTGAAGGAATTCTGGGTGATACAAATTGTTGAATTCTGTAGCAAGAAAAGAAAAACTTAATATTTAAAAATTGTAAAAAGAAAAATATAAGGAAATTACGCTTTACGAAGTATTTTAAACCGTCGGTAAAGGTAACACCTCTGAAAAACAACAACAACAACAACAACAAACAACAAAAATTAACAAGTAAACAACCCTAACATGAAAATATGCTGTGGGCATTCTTTCTCATCGTTCCGCCATCCTTTAATCAAATAAATGTTCGTCAAGAAAGCTGAGGGTAGAATTTGCCTGACGCATTGAAACAAATGTTTTTATGAAATGTTAGGAAGCGGTATCAGTGGTATGTCTTCCTTTCCTGAAGGCTATAAAGAGATACTGTCGACGCAATCGACAGTGTTTCGTGGAAAACTGAAACAAAGTTAATTCAGAACGGGAAGAGTTATGTCTGCGTATTTCTTAGATTGGTTTAGTTTAGTTTTTTTTTTTTTAAACTTATTTTAATTAAGGAAAAAAACTAACCTTCCAGTTGAGCATCGTGCGGATAAGGCCTCAACAAAAACAGAAAGAGAAGTAACAAGCAAATGATGAGAATGCGCATGTTAAATGAAGAGAATGTTGGCGAAATTTGTGGAAATGGGTGACTTTGGTGTCTTCTGAAAAAACGCTGCTATACCTCTTCGTTATAAAATACAATTGCTAATCTTAATTTTAGAATCAGTTTTCTACTTATACATTTCCAGATGTTTGTCACGTAGACTGAGTATTTTAGTATCTCTCTGGCACTGTTTATTTTACTATACCAACATCTCCAAACATATTTCAGTCACGTAAACTCGAAATGCGACACAACTTGATAGCGATATTTATCAATGAGCATTTCTAACAGGTCAGTAGTTACAAGAAGAGGCTGTTTTCTGGGCACTGCGTCCAATATAATTTTAACGCGAGTCGTGACGAAAGGTTTCTTGGCTCGAGAATTAAAAATTTATGCTTTAATTGCCTTCTAACATCCAACGTCATTATACTTTGATTGCTTTCTTAAGTCAATTCACATGTTTTTCAAGATAAATATTACCAAAAGAAAACCAACTGCAAAAGAAAAAGGAAGTCAAAATGCACTGCCCTCCCACGCAGACGTTCTTAGCTGTTCTTTGGGCTTCCTCACACCTGCTCTGGCCGGCTTCCACACTTGGCCAGGAGCACTGAGGATCGGAACACTTAACGAAGCCCTAAGAATGTCTGCGTGAAAGGCTAAGTCTTAGTCAAAATCAGTTTTACTATACTGGTTTTGTCATCTGAGGCAACTGATGAACTTCATGTAAAAAATGTATCGATCCACACGAATGCAGACCCTGAGCGAACCAGTATACTTGCTTAGCGTTTGACGAGTAAGCGAATGCTATGTGGTCAAAGATCAAAGAATTCTCAAAAAAGCATTTACTTATATATCTTTTTCAACCTTCTTAAAAGGCCCGATTAGAATGTATCGTTCAATAACTTGAATTTCAATCAGTTCAAATTCAGTGATTAGATAATTCTTATAGGCCGTTAAAATTAAGTAAGCGATCGTGCCAGAAAATGCGTCTTTGCTTAGATTCTGAATTCGTACGTGTTGCAAACTCGTTACCAAGTGGCTCACTTAGCACGTAATTTGACAGCTGTGCAAAACTCTACTGCTCAGGTAGCTTCTTTTTCTCCTACTTCGGTTATTTCAAGACCGTCAGTTTCGAATCTCTAGTACGCTCTGACTTGATGACTTCCAACTGAATTTAAGACTGATTACCTGACAATACTTTTCATGGCAAGGCTCTTGCTAAAATAACTATAGCAACAGAGGAAAAAAAATATGAAGATAAAAAGCTTACTATGTTACCCTAAGGATTAATAGTGCCCACAAATCAAAACAACATTTTCAAACGTGCTTGTTTGCGGTTATAATACCGTCAATGGCACCAATCACAAGCGAATATATTAGTATCATCATTCAAATGCATTTAGTAAAGAGCAAATGACATTCACAACGACTGAAAATATCCCAAGAAAAAGTATACTAACGTGGTAAGGCAAAGTTCAACCTTAAATAAAGCCGAGTTTTTTAGGGTAAAGTTATACTAACGACAGTAAGAAAAATCGAAATTTACAAAAAGCAATCGAAACATACCGCTCACGATTGTATCAAGCAAGATGTAACAAGAGACGAAATCGGACCTCAGTTTGAGCGTGTAGAAGGGTAGAATCATCTGTGCCCAGTGTTTCTCGTTTCAGCCACTATAATGATTTTGTATAATAACATTCANAGTTTTTTAGGGTAAAGTTATACTAACGACAGTAAGAAAAATCGAAATTTACAAAAAGCAATCGAAACATACCGCTCACGATTGTATCAAGCAAGATGTAACAAGAGACGAAATCGGACCTCAGTTTGAGCGTGTAGAAGGGTAGAATCATCTGTGCCCAGTGTTTCTCGTTTCAGCCACTATAATGATTTTGTATAATAACATTCATCATGTTTATATACAAAATTAAACAAGAGTAGATTCTTGATAAGGTAACACTGACGCATTCAATAGCTCATGCACTTTAAAAGTGCTTATGTTCGAAATGCCGTTTGGGTCTGGAGTCCGCCAATGTGATGATTGGGCCCTGTTATCCTGCTGTGTTTTGTAAGGCTGGGCCTAGAGCTCTTTGAAGTTGTTTGCATGATGTTTAATTCTCACGAATAGTGCATGATATACAAATACTTAATTGTTATGATGATAATGATGACAACAATTGTTGTTATTTAATGTTTCTTTTTTGGCATTCACAAGGGTGGAAAACTGACGGGATTTATTGCGGGCGAGCAACAGCAGGCCCGCGGACGTATTATTGAAGGGTGGTCAGCGGCATTTTCTAAATTTGTATATGAAGGTTTTAGCAAAATCTGTCCACATTCTTGGAATGTTTTTGTACCCACTCAAAGGCTAGGACTCTAATTAAAACAACAATTTTAAAATGGCCGATTGTCCTTTTGAATGAAATGGTCAAATCAAATCTGTGTCTGGTCAACTGGTGTTGTTTAATTCAATTTTCACGTTCATGATCTGGGGACAATTTCCTCTGGAACTAAAAGGGCTAAATCTCTTATTCACGCTTGGATGATCTACTATTTACTTATTATAAAAGCGGTTCTCAACATCAGTCATATAAGGTAAACTCAAATGCTCGCCCGCACCTTTTAACCATTGGTTACTGCTAGTGGTACTTACATAAATGAGCTTGAAACTAAAATAAAGAATAGATACAATTTTGTCTTCCTTTATTCACTCAAACAGACAAGTATAGAATCGTCAGTTTGATCACCATACAGACTTTTTGTTTCCTTCCAACAACCCAGGGTCATTTCAGACCAACTCTTGCCTATACAGTAGTTAAAGTCCACCAGCAACCACTAAGCGGTCATTGATAGACTTGATCAGTTCGTGTTTTGTGACGGACTCTAAAAGGTAACGTGATTCGTGAATGTACGGAAATTTAACCCGTGATTCGTGATCCAGACCCCCCTCCCATTCCAGACCCTATTACAATTCTTTTTGGGGGCAAGGAAACTTAGCAGAGCTTAACTTGCTCAACCTGTTTTGTCATACCATTTGTTCAGTGCCCTAATGAAATACACTACCCTTATCCATTGTTATCTATTGTGATTTACGGTAATAACAACTGATGCACGTGTTAAGCAAAGATATATATAGTCCTCTTTGCTACGATTAAGTCTGCAGAACTAAAAAAAAATTACTTTTAAACGAGGCATTGATGGCCAATTATCATAAAGTCAAGAGACTGCCAAAATCGCTAAGTTAACATGATTTTCAAAGGACTTAAGCTTTTTAGAGTGAATTTGGTACTACCGTCTCACTGTACTAGGATGTAACCTAGTCCCTTTGTATGCTTTCTATTAATACGTTCATTCCCACATGTATTGTTGTCATCATGCAAACCGCCAGTGCCAAACCCGATTCTGGAGTCACATTTACCGCAGTTGTGTTCATCGTTACCAAGGATACCGATTCTTGCTTTGGCCATGTCTTTACCTAAATGCTGCTGGTCACTCTTAGCATGAAATCCTTCCCTGTTACAACCAATCTGCAAGGTGGCAATAGAGCCAATCAGTGACTTCCATGTGTCACGACCTAGTGAGGTGTTGCGGTATTGGCCATCAGCGATCAGAGAGTACAAGGAGTTTGCCGGCTGGTTGATGACAATGAACCTGATCTACTGACCGATCTTCATACCGAGGCAGATCTTGGAGAAGGATGTGTTCCAGTAGGAGGGAAGTTTGGTCTCCTGTGAGTCAAACCCAGTCTTCCCTGCGTCAAGTTTAAAGGCACTTTTGTTTCTCCAGAGACTGGAGTCGTAGTGAAACGTTTGCTGTGTTAAAATTCATAACAAAAAAACAATCTCTAGCATAGGTAAAGAGTTATTAGATTTACGTATGGTTTGTTAATTCGCCTATCCTCGTTCCCAGGCCTTCGCTCCTACTCATCTCCCGGTGGGAGTACGAGAGGATCCTGGGAACAAGGTTGTCTTCTTGATAGAAGAAATAGAGTGACATTGTTTTTAATTACATTATTATTCTACTGTGGTTTGTCTAATAATCACATGATCAGATTTCTTCATATCGAACGTTAAGTCAAAAGGGTCATCGTTTGCGGCTTTGATTACTCAGTTACTAGAAAGAATCAGGCGAGAAATTTTCAAATATGGTAAGGTCGAGCCTCCTGTAAACTTCACTGTAATTTGATGGGCTTTCTGAAAGCAGGATCCGAGACTCTTGTTGAAATTTTATATACAAAAAATTGTGTTTAAATCAGGCTGAAAATGGCGTTTTCGTGGGCGCCATTTGGCAACAATGTTTTCCTTGGGCACGAAGCTTTCTCAACAAAAAAAAAGCTTAGTATAATTTCAGAAAAAAAAGAAAGACACTCCCATCATCTAATTATTTTTAATTACTTAGTACATCCTTGCCGAATTTTTACTAAAATGGTAAATGAAATCAAACTTATGAAAACAAA